TTTTCCTAAGTATTTTATTCTTTTCAATGCTCTTGTAAATTGAGTAGTTTTCCTAGTTTTTGGATTGTTCATTGTTAGAGTGTAGAGATGAAATCATTTTGTGTGTTGATTTTATATCTTGCAACCTTGCTGCATGATTTTAATTAGCTCTAACTTTAAAGAAAAATATTTTGGCCATGTGCTGTGGCTCACGCCTGTAATCCCAGCACTTTGGGAAACCAAAGTGGGTGGATCACGAGATCAAGAGATTGAGACCATCCAGGCCAACATGGTGAAACCCCATCTCTACTAAAAATACAAAAATTAGCTGGGCGTGGTGGCACATGCCTGTAATCCCAGCTACTCTTGAGGCTGAGGCAGAAGAATCACTTGAACCCAGGAGGTGGAGGTTGCAGTGAGCCAAGGTTGTACAACTGCGCTCCAGCCTGGCAACAGAGCAAGACCCCATCTCAAAAAAAAAAAAAAAAAAATCTGAGGATGTTCAAATCCCTTACATAAAATGGTATAATATTTGCACCTACACATATCCTCCTGTATATTTTAAATCATCTCTAGGTTACTTATAATACCTAACACAATGTAAATGGTATGTAAATAAGGGTTGTACTGTATTTTTAAAACTTGTATTTTTTGTTGTATTGTTATTTTTTTATTGCTTTTTCTTAAATATTTTATATCTGTTGTTGCTTTAATCCCTGGATATGGAACCTGCAGAGACAGAGTGCCAACTCTATGGCCTTTATCACGTTGAGGACGTTTCCTTCTGTCTTAGTCCATTTTGTGCTGCTAGAACAGAACACTTGAAACTGGGGAATTTATAATGAGCAGAAATTTTCAGGCTCATGCTTCTAGAGGTTTGGAAGTCCAAGCTGGCATCTGGTGAGGGCCTTCTTGCTGTGTTATCCCTTCTGGTGGAAGGCAGAAGAGCTAGAGAGAATAAGAGGGAGCAAGAGAGGAAGAAACAAACGTGAAGCTTCAAGCCCTTTTATGGTTGGCATTATTCCATTCATGACGGTAGAGCCTCTCATTGGGCATTATCTCTCAGTACTGTTACATTGGGGATTAAGTTTCCAATACATGCTTTTTGACACATTCAAACCATAGCATCTTCTAGACCTAATTAGTTGAATGTTTATATCAAGAAAGGATTTTGACATTTATCAAATGCTTTTTCTGCATCAACTGAAATGGCTATGTAATTTTTTTCCTTCATCTTATTAATGTGGTATATTTCCTTGATAGATTTTTTCATTTTTACATGTTGAACCATCCTTGTATTCCAGGAATCAATCAATCTATTATTCTTTTAATATGCTGCTGAATTTGATTTGCTAGTATTTTGTTGACTTTTTTATCAATATGCATAAGGAGTATTGGTCTGTAGTGTTCTTTTCCATTTTTCTCTTTTTGCAGAGACAAGGTCTTGCTGTATTTCCCAAGTGATCTTGAATTCCTGGCCTCAAGTGACTCTCTTGCCTGTCTCCCAGAGTGGTTTTCTTTTCTTAAAGCGTCTTTGTCTGACTTTGGAATCAGGGTAAAACTGACCTCATAGAATTAGTTATGGAGTGTTCCCTCCTCTTCAGTTTTTTTGGAAAAGTTTGAAGAGGATTAGTCTTATTTCTTCTTTAAATGTATGGTAGAATTAACCAACAAAGCTATCTGGTCCTGAGCTTTTCTTTCTTGGGACATTTTTGATTAATGATTTAATCTTCTTACTAGTTATTGGTCAGGCTTTTTTATTTCCTTGTGATTTAGTTTTGGTAGATTGTGTTTTGGGAATGTGTTCATTTCATTTATCCAATTTGTTGGTATACAGATGTTCATAGTATTCTATTATGTTCCTTTTTATTTCTGTAAAGTTCATGGTAATGTCCTCACTTTCAGTCCTGATAATAGTAATTTGAGTCTTGTTTTTGTCGGTCTAGCCGGTTTCGTCATTTTTATTGATCTTACCAGAGAAGCAACTTTGGTTTTCTTGATTTTTCTCCACAGTTTTTTGATTCTCTATTTCATTCGTCTTCACCCTAATCTTTATTATTTCCTTCCTTCTGTGTGCTTTGGGTTTAGTTTGGTCTTCAATCTCTCTGGTCTTTACTCTTTCCTTTTCTCATTCCTTAAGGTGTAATGTTAGGTTACCGATTTAAGATTTTTTAAAATATATGCATTTGCAACTATAATTTGCCCTCTCAGCATTGCTTTTGCTGCATCCCTTAGGTCTTGGTGTGGTAGAGTGTGTGTGTGTGTGTGTGCGCGCACGTGTGTGCGTGTGTGTATGGTTTTCTCATGTGATTTCCTACTTTCCCTCATGATTTCTTTTTTGATCCATTGGTTGTTTGTTTGAGACAGTCTCACTCTGTCACCCGGGCTGAAGTGCAGTGGTGCGATTTCAGCTCACTACAACCTCCACTTCCCAGGTCGAAGCAATTCTTGTGCCTCAGCCTCCCAGGGAGCTGGGATTACTGGTGTGCATCACCATGCACGGCTAATGTTTGTATTTTTAATAGAGACGGGGTTTCACCATGTTGACCAGGCTGGTCTCAAACTCCTGGCATTAAGTGATCTGACTGCCTCAGCTTCCCAAAGTGCTGGCATTACAGGTGTGAGCCACCATGCCTCGCCTCATTGGCTATTTAATTTTATCATATTTGTGAGTTTTTCAGTTTTCTATTATTGATGTATAGCTTCATTCTATGTGATCAGAAAATATTTTTGTATGATTTTAACCTTTTCAAATATATTAAAACTTATTTTGTGGCCAGGCGTGGTGACTCACACCAGCACTTTGGGAGGTCAAGGCAGGTGGATCATGAGGTCCAGAGATTGAGACCATCCTGGCCAACATGGTAAAACCCTGTCTCTACTAAAAATACAAAAAAATTAGCTGGGCAAGGTGGCACACCCCTGTAGTCCCAGCTACTTGGGAGGCTGAGGCAGGAGAATCGCTTGAACCCTGGAGATGGAGACTGCAGTAAGCTGAGTTCACATCACTGCACTATAGCCTGGGCAACAGTGTGAGACTCTGTCTCAAAAATAAATAAATAAATAAAACTTATTTTGTGGCCCATCTAGGGGAATGTTTCATGTGCACTTGAGAAAATGTCTATTCTCTATTATTGGATAGAGTGTTCTGTATATGTCTACCAGGTATAATTGGCTTATGGTGTTGTTGGAGTCCTCTCTTTCCTCATTTATCTTCTGTCTGGTGGTTCTATCTCTTATTGTAAGTGGTGTTTTGAAGTCTCCAAATATTATAGAGATATCTATTTCTCCCTTCAATTCTGCCAGTGTTTGTTTATATATTTTGAAGCTCTGATATTTGGTGCATATATGTTTATAACTGTTACATATTCTTGATGGATTTATCCTTTTATTAATACATAATGTACTTTTTAATATCTTGTAACAGTTTTTACTTATAGTCTATTTTGTCTGATATTTGTATAGCTACCTCAGCTCTCTTTTGATTACTATTTGTGTAGGATTTGTTTTTACATCCTTTCACTTTCAACCTCTTTGTGTCTTTAGATCTAAAGTGAGTCTTTTGTAGACAGCATATAGTTGTATCATGTTTAAAAAATCCATTCTGCCAATCTATGCCTTTGATAGGAAAGTTTAGCTGGGCACGGTGGCTCATGCCTGTAATCCCAGCACTTTGGAAGGCTGAGGCAGGCAGATCACCTGAGGTGAAGAGTTTGACACCAGCCTGGCCAACATGGTGAAACCCTGTCTCTACCAAAAAAGTTACAGAACTAGCCAGGAGTGGTGGCACATGCCTGTACTCCCAGGGAGAACTGCTTGAACCAGGAGGAAGAGGTTGCAGTGAGCCGAGATCCGGCCATTGCACTCCAGCCTGGGCAACAGAGCAAGACTCCATCTCAAAAAAAAAAAAAAAAGAAAGAAAAAAGAAACTGTAACCTATTTACATTTGAAGTAATTGCTGATAAGGAATGCATTACTACTGCCATTTTGCTATTTTTTTTTTCCTGTATGTCTTGTAGCTTTTTTGACCCTCATTTATTCTGTTACTGCTTTCTTTTGTGTTTTGTTGATTTTTTTATAGTAACACATTTAGATTCCCTTTTCATTTTCTTTTGTGTTATATTCTATAAATATTTTCTTTGTGTTTTCCTCTCTGTCCATGGGGAAACAGGACAAGCTGCCACAAGTCTGTAAGGTGATGCACTTGTTCAGTCCCCGTGGGGATCCTGTGCCCCATCCTCGCCATGCCCTCCCATCGTCACTCCACCGCTCGGCCTTAAAGATCTGTCATTCTAAGAAACATTCTTAATGGAAAAGAATGGTACAATGATGTTTAATGGTGATTCTGGGGAAAAAAGGGCAAATGAAAAGCATTTCTAACTCTGGGAGAACTCACTGGTTTACTGTTGGTAGAAGCTTCTTGGGGCCTTGAAGACACTTTGTGTCCCATGGTGATGCCAGCACGGGCCACCCTGAGCCCTCTGTCTCTGTGTCTCTGCTACTGTGAAGATCTGCAGAGCCCACGTCTGGGCATTCTCAATTTCGAACTTCAGAGCTCAAGTGTTCTACCCACCTCGGCCTCCCAAAATGCTGGGATTACAAGTGTGAGCCATCGCGCCTGGTCTGAGCTACCGCGCCTGGCCCTGGGCATTCTGAGCCACCTGTGTCACCTGTGCCTTCCACAGACACCAGCTGTTTCCTGATGGCCCTGCAGGTAGCCCTTGAAAAATGGATTCATAGCCCCTCTGAGTTTGTTTTCTGTGATAAGCTCTGTGAAAGTGGGTTTCCACCACAACCCCTCACTTCGACCTTCTGACGAGGCAGGTTGGCAGGCCAGGAGCAGCTCTCAGCTGTGCAATGTGCACCACACAGGCTGGGATGGCTATGACCCTGCAGGTGCACCCTCCTGGTGGGCACCCTCCTCAGGGGTGATGTCCTTCTGTGGTCAGTGTCAGGATGAGGCTGCTGTCTATGGTCCCCTTGGGCTGTGCTGGCTCATGCACCTGTGCTATCTGTTTTAGATCAGACCTACTGCGACCGCCTGGTGCAGGACACGCCTTTCCTGACAGGCCATGGGCGCTTGAGTGAGCAGCAGGTGGACAGGATCATCCTCCAGCTGAACCGCTACTACCCACAGATCCTTACCAACAAGGAGGCGGAAAAGGTGCTGAGGAGGTGAGGGGGGTGCCTGAGACACTGCTCAGTTTCCCTTCCTTTCTGGGCTGGGAGAAGCTGGTGACCGGCCCTGGGTCATTCTCTCACAGGATGACACACTAGGCGTGTCAGGATTCAGAGGTGACCTGGACCTGGCTATTAAGGCTGCCTGAGCTACAAACTGGCCCTTTCGGGTGAGCCCAAATGAGCCCAGAACATCATCAGGTCTCTGTGCCTCGGTTTCTTCATATGTAATTAGGCTTGCTATCCCCTCCCCCAGTTGCTGGGAGGGTTACAGGAGATAACACGTGATGACACATGAAGCTTAGGACAGTATAAGATGTGGTAGGTGGTGGGGGGGACGAGAAAGGGGATGAGAGGGAAGGATGAGGAGGTGGGGCAGAGGGAGAGCTGAAGTGGGATGGGGACCAGAGGTTGGGCCTGGCCCACCCCAGTGCCACAGGGCTTTGCACTCTGCATCTTCCGAAGGTTCAAAGTGGGCAAACGTTTGCTTCCTTTTCTCTAATTTCTACCTTGCTGTACGAGGCTGGAAAGCCCAGCATGTCACAGGTAGGCAAAGCTTCTAGGCAAGCAGATGCTGACCCACAGCCACACCTCACTCTGCCCCTCTCAGCAGTGCTGAGCGGGTTGGTCCCCCAGGAGCCCCAGCTTCCCCATGGTGGAGTGGACAACTTGAGCACTGGGCTGGCAGGTGTGGTGAGGACTGGCTGAGCTGACCCAAGTAAATGCATGCCCAAGAGCCCTCATCCCCAGATGGCCCTACAGCCCTGTGGGCAGCCACGCTCATCACCCCATCTCACAGAGGTGGTCCCAGGGCCCAAGAGGCAGCCACTTGCCCAGGTCACTCATGTCAGGAGTGTCAGGTTACATCCTGAGTTCATCCTATTACTTGGGAAAGTGCCCAGGGCCAACAGCTGTCACTCTGTCACATGGCCCTGGCCTCTCAGAGCTGCAGAGCTGGGCACACCGGGGTGGCTCTGCTGGAGATGGCATTTAAGATGCAATTCCTGGGCTCTGTCCTGGGAGGTCTGTTCTGCCCATCCCCCCAGTGCCCGGTGGCTCTGAGGGATACTGGATGAGAGAGTTGGGCACCCCCGCCAGGCTCCACCCACATCTGAGCCACCTGTTCCTTGACAGCCATCACCAAGACCAGAGGGATGGGCTGTGGGTGCCAGAGACTGCTAGGCCTTTAGGGTACAGGTCCTGCCAGCCTCTTTCCCCTCTGGGTGACTCCAATTGAGTCCCTTCTCCTCATGGAGCTTTCATTTCCTCACGTAGCAAGGGGTCATGATGCCATGTGCAGGGCTGTCCTGAGGGTTGGGGCATCTCCTGGAACAGGGAGGTTGGCCCACAACAGAACAGGAGTCAACACAGGCCCCGCTCCGGGCTCAGGTGCTGCTTCTGTTGCAAGTCAGGGGCTCAAATCCATCTCTTATTATTGTAACTGAAGTCTAATACATGTTCACTTTTTAAAAGTTAATAAAGTTTCAGATATTTATACAAGGAAAAGCACATATTTCTTCCTCCCAGGCACCGTAGCTCCGTCACCCATGTGTCTGCCGTTTCCATACTGCCAGGGAATGGCAACTCTTGTTCCCTGTGGCCGTGTAGAATGATATGTTGCCACCAGGTGGCAGCACCAGGCCACAGACTCCTGGTTCTGCGGGTCAAGTCCCAGTGTGGCCTGTCCACTAACCTTGAGAACCACACATTTCTCTGTCAGACACATCAAAAGAGCCAATACTTTCATCAACCTTTTTTTTCTTTCTCTTTTTTGTTTTGAAAGAGAGTCTCTGTGGCCCAGGCTGGAGTGCAGTGGTGTGATCTCAGCTCAAAGCGACCTCCACCTCCTGCTTTCAAGTGATCCTCTGGCCTCAGCCTCCCAAATAGCTGGCATACAAACATGTACCACCATGCCTGGCTCAGTTTTGGTACTTTTAGGAGAGACGGGGTTTCACTATGTTGGCCTGGCTGGTGTCAAACTCCCGGCCTGAAACTCCTGATCCGCCTGCCTCAGCCTCCCAAAGTGCTGGGATTATAGACATGAGCCACATAATGAGCTTCAACTTGTTTTTTAAATACTTGAATCACATTCCTCTAGACTGAAAAATAACAGAAGTTGGCACTTATACCATCACTTCATTGATTCCCCGCCGTAGCCCACCATGCGGGTTCTTTATCCCCTTTTTACAAATGAAGAAACCGGGTCTCAGAGGGGTGGAGTAGCTGGCTAAAGTCTCACAGGAAGCTACACTAAGTCCCAACACTTGGAATGATGTCACTGGCCCTGTGCTTTCCTTGTGACCGCTCCCAGCCTCAGTTTCCCAACCTCCCGCCCCACAGGGAGTATGAGGAGTAGCAGTTGATGATGACAGAGGCAGTGCCAGGCACTGTGGTGTGTGGGTAGCGGGCAGGGTGTCACAGAGTCCAGCAGGTATCCTGACACCCGATGGGGAAGCTGAGGCTGGGGGCCTGAGCCTGGCACTCTGCCTTACCCCACAGCCAGCCCCTCTGCCCTGATCTTCCCTGGCATCCCCTTGTACCCTCAGTTCCGGAACCCCAAGGCGTCCTTGCGTGTGCGGCTCTGTGACCTCCTGAGCCACCTGCAGCAGAGTGGTGAGCGGGACTGCCAGGAGTTCTACCGAGCCCTATACATCCACGCCCAGCCCCTGCACAGCCGCCTGCCCAGCCGCCATGCTCTGCGTAAGTTTCACATCCCCAGCCATGCATGCTTGGTGCTGGCCCAGGGAGGGCACCCCAGCCTGCTGTTAAGGGCATGGATGTCCTCCGGACCACCCAAGTCTGCTGCAGCCCAGGCCTGGAATCCCCTCTCACCCAGCCCCTCCCTAGAGGCCACCCTAGTCCCTGAGGGGAGAGTGTGGCAGGCTCAGGCAGTGCAGATGTTGGTCTCTGTCTCCCACTCCCTCTCCTCCGTCTCTCACGGCAGTTTCCATGCCGAAGGGGGCATCCTGTACATCTACTCTTGCTCTTCCTTTTCTAGCCTTATTCCAGGGGGATCCCTTCATATCTGTCTGGGTAGCAGCCTTGTTCCCACAGCTGCATGGCACACCTAGGTGGTCCCAGCTGGAATTACCCAACCCCATGACAGGCCCTTTCATTGCAGCGATCTGCACACATGTGGGTGTTTCCACAGGGCATTGTCGGGCATGGGTGGCTGGTCCCAAGCACATGCATTTTGGTTTTGAGGCTCCTGTCCCCAGGTGGTGTGCGGTCAGGCCCCGGGAGTCATGTGGATGCCAGTAGCCCGGGCCCTCAGAACTGCTAAGACCTGGGGGATACATCAAGGCGAAGATGGCAGCTTGGATCTGACGCCTCCATGCTCAGGGCCCCCAGAGGAGGGATTGTTGCCCCTTGACACTCAGATAATAGGACAGAGACCAGAGGGACTGGATGGGGCTGGCTCGTCCTAGGCTACTGGACTAGGGTCTCTGACCCCCTGGAGGCCTCCCCAGGCTCCACAGGACACAGTGCAGATGGTTGGCAGGGAGAGCTCAAGGGCAGGCCCAGCCCCGAAGGTGGGACTGGCTCTCTCTCCCCAGCCTTGGCCCTGCTGGAGGTAGAGCACCTTCTGTGACTCCCAGGTGCCTAAAGGTCTCCAGCACATCGCAGGCCAGAGAGCCTCCTAGGGAGGCCTGGGCAGAAAGCTCCGGGCCAACTGCACCCAGTGAGGCAGGCACCATGCCGACAGCAGCCATGCAGTCCGCAGTGATGTTGGTGCTGTGTTTGGTGCCTGTGGCCACCACGGTACAAGGGCCCTCCGATGCCCATGGCCCTTGAAGTCACAAGAACTGGACCAGAGGAGAGAACTCAGACTGTGCATAGTTCCCTGAGGAGGGCTGGCCTCATGTCCCATGGTCTAGTCCCGCCTGGCAGCCCCGGGAGGCAATGATGGCCTTGGGCTTCCTGTGGGGTGACCGGCTTGCTCTCTGGCCCTGCCCATTGACTGACTAACCATGCTCTGTGGTTTTGTTTCCAGAGAACTCAGATTGCACAGAGCTAGACTCGGGCAGCCAGAGCGGCGAGCTGAGTGACAGGGGTAACGCCTCCCTGCTGCCCGTCCCTCTCTCTCCCTCTCTCTCCCTCTCTCTTTACCCTCCCCAGGGCTCCATCTCCACCTCAGGGCCTTCTTCACCCCAAGTCCGGCTCCATTCCTGGCCTTCTGTTGGTGACAGACCCCCTACGGTGCTCGCTTGAGGGCTCTTCAGGCAGCACCTCAGCCTGGCACCCCCGCTCCCCTGCACAGCCCCGGGTCTCAGGACCCCACCCCTCTGAGTCCCAGGGGAGCCCGGTTCACACTGGTTTCTCCCCAGGACCGATGAGCTTCCTGGCTGGCCTGGGCCTTGCCGTGGGACTGGCCCTGCTCCTGTACTGCTATCCGCCAGGTGGGTGCAGGTGGACCCTCACGGGCCAGGCTTGCTTACCCTCTGCCACCAAGCCAGGGCCTCACACCCTGCCCAATTCAGGACCCCTTGGCCTCTCCGTACCTCAGTGTCCGCACTTGTGCAGTGGGATAGTGTCACCTGGTAGGGCTCATGAGAAATGGGACATGAGGAGGCCCCCCGCGTCTGCTGCCCCTGCCACCCTTGGGAACCAGAGAATTATGATGACCCCTAGTGGGAGGAGGGTGCAGCCAGGACTCCTGGTGTTAGAAGGCCCTGCCACACCTGTGACTTTGGCCACACCTCTGACCTTGAGCCATGTGGGGCCCTTGAGCAGGTCACGTGCCCCAGGGCCTTGGGTCTCCACCAGCCACAGGCTGATGCAAGGAGCCTGCCAGCCCCCTCTGCTGGCACCTGGCCTGACCTCGCCTGTCTCTCCTTTTCTGTGATGCCTGAGTTTGCTGTGCTGGGAGGCCTACTGGGTGCAGGGACACAGGCACACACGGCAGGACCCAAAGGCCCGTGGGGCACTCGAGTGGGGGCTGGGGGGGCTGGAATCTGCCCAATTCTTGTCTTTTCAACTCAAGCCGAGACCATGACCGGGAGGGGCACCCTGCCCCAGTGCCCCCCCCGCCCCCCCGCTGTTGGAAGGATGGAAATAGAATTTGCCTGTGGAACTGGCTCCCGAGCTTTTGCCTCCCCTTTTGTCTTCTAGACCCCAAGGGCCTGCCGGGGACCCGGCGCGTCCTCGGCTTCTCACCTGTCATCATCGACAGACATGTCAGCCGCTACCTGCTGGCCTTCCTGGCAGATGACCTGGGGGGGCTCTGATGAACCCCGGACCCAGGGCCTCCCCGCCACTCAACCAAAGAGTCCTCCAGCTGGCCCAACAAGGGCTGCTGCTGCTTTTTCTAAATGCTTATTTTTCATTATTTATAATTTGTGTAAGAAACGCATCTTCACCTTACAAGGTGCTTACCCATATTAAATATTCAAGTTCTGTCAGCCTGTCTCGTTCCTCAACCTCAGGGGGGTTTCAGAGATTATTGCAGCTATGGCTGCTCCCACTGGGGCTTGGCCCTGGTGTTCCCGGCATCCCCAGCTGCTGGCACAGACGTCAGACAGGACGCCCTCCACATGGGCTCACCTGCCTCAGATATAAGCCCCCAGGCACTGCCCCCATACCTCAGATGTCCCTGACATGAACACTGCCCCCACCTCAGATAAGCCCCCAGGTACTGCCCACCTCCTCAGATGTCCCCCCAACACTGCTCCCCACCTCAGATGTCCACTACACTGTCCCCTCCCACCTCAGACACTCCCTCCCATACACTGTCCCCTCCCACCTTAGATGTCCCCACACAGTCCCCTCACACCTCAGATGCCCCCACACACTGTCCTCTCCCACTTCAGATGTCCACTACACTGTCCTCTCCCACCTTAGATGTCTCTACATACTGTCCCCTCCCACCTCAGATGCTCCCCACACAGTCCCCTCCCACCTCAGATGCCCCACACACACTGTCCCCTCCCACCTCAGATGCCCCCCACAGTCCCCTCCCACCTCAGATGCCCCCATACACACTGTCCCCTCCCACCTCAGATGCCCCCCCACAGTCCCCTCCCACCTCACATGTCCCCACAATGTCCACTCTCACCTCAGATGCCCCCACACTGTCCCCTCCCACCTCAGATGCCCCCCCACACACAGTCCCCTCTCACCTCAGATGTCCCCCCCCACACACTGTCCCCTCCTCCCACCTTGTGTGACACACACACACTCTCTCTGACTGCTGAGCCTGGGCGAGACCTGATCTCTGCCTTGTCTGCTCTTCCCGGAAGGCTTTTTGTGGGGAAACGACAGTATTTCTCAACCCACAGAATCATCATGAGTTTACATTTTCCAGGGGGTTTCTGGAGACACCCAGGCTTTGCCTCAGAAGGAGGCGGTAGAGGGGCGAAGCCACTGAAGGGGCAAGGGAATGGGCGAGGCTCCCGGAGGGGCCCTGCTCAGTTACATGGTCACTGCACAGGACCGTGGGAACCAGGCTGCTGGTGGAGTATGGACTCCAGGCCGTGACCTCTGATTACCCTGCGGCCCTGCTGCTTGGGTCATCACAGTGCATGCCCCTTCAGGGATCTGAGGGCCTGGGGCAAGGAAAGCCAGAGCCTTGGAGCCCTCCGACCTGCTGGGCTGCCACAGGCCCAAGGTGGGGGTACAGCCCTGGCTGCCCTCTCCCTCCTCCACCCTGAGCCATGGGCCCGGGGCATGTGCTCCAGCCTCAGCCCGTCTGCCCACCTGTGCAATGGGAGCCCTGCCCGGGACTCCTCCTTCAGCCTGGGCTCTGTCCCAGCCCCCTCCCCCGCAGAAATTCTGTTAGGAATTTACCACCTGGTTCCAGCTGCAAAGAACTGTCCCACACTTAGTGAAGGTGACAGATGTCTCGGTCAAGTGTGTAGACAGGCGTGACTTGCCCCTGGAGGGTGAAGGAGGGGTCTCCAGGGACACTAATGTTCTATTACTGCGTCAGCTGAGGGCAGGGAACCTCCTAGGCAGCAGGACGCAGGCTGGTGTGTGGTCCTAGGTGGCCCCACCTGAGGCCCTGGAGGACACACGCACCTCCTCAGGGCTGCCTGACACGACCTGAGGCCCTGACTCCTCAGGGCCCTGGGCAGGATGTCATTCCTCAGTGAGGGGCCGCCTGGCCCTGGGACTGCTGCCTTGCCTGTCCATCTGTGCGCACCACCACCCTGTCCCACACTCAGCCACCCGCAGCCCCATCTCTAACTGGACTCAAGCCTGGAGTTGAGTCTGTGACGTCCCCAACCACCAGCCAGGTCCCCTCTTCCATCTGCCACCTCCAGCCTGGTGGGTGCCCCACAGGACCTCCCCTTTGAGGCTGGAGCCTGGAGGAGAGAGAACAATGGGCACTCAAGTCTGGCCTCAGCCACCCATCAGGCCCTGCCCTGCCAACCACCAGGCCAACCAGTTCCCGTGACCAGCAGTGAACTAGGTCCTCCAAAGGGGAAGGCACCCTTGGGCATGTGAGGCCCTCCTGGCTGTCCTGAGTCCCCACCTCCACACCACACAGGCAGATGGTGGTGTCCTGCGCCTCCACACCTGTACTGCGGGGGTTCAGGCAAAGACCCTGCTGCTCCTTCCGCTTGGGACTCCTTACCAGCCCCACCCATCAACTCATCCTTCAGAGCCACCTGGAATGCCATTTCCTCCAGGAAGCCCTCATGATACCCCAGTAAGAAGAACAGTTTCCTCCAGGCTACCACACCTGGACATGGGACGTTGGTCTCACATCCAGAACTGTGCCAGAACTGGTAGGGGATGCTGGGGTCGAGGGGACTCCATTACCAAAGCTTCAGTGTGACGGAGGAGCTGTGGGAGAGCTGAAGGGGTCATGCAGAGGGCTGTGAGGGGCAGTGAGTGAAGGAAAGGCGGTATGAGATCAGGGAGCTTGAGTGTGGGAGGGAGATGAAGGAAGGGGAATGGGGGGGTGAGGGAGGAGGTGTGGGAGGGGTGAGGGAGGGGTGAGGGGTGGGGGGTAAGGGAGGGATGAGGGAGGGGATAAGAGGGGTGTGAGGGAGGCATGAGGGAGGGGGTGAAGGGGGTGAGGGAGAGGGTGAGGAAGGAGTAAGAGAGGGGGTGAGGGAGTGAGGGGGGTGAGGGAAGGAGTTGGAGGTGAGGGAGGGGGTGAGGCAGGGGTGGGGAGGTGAGGGGGTGAGGGAGGGGATGAGGAAGGAGTGAGGGAGGGAGTGTGGCAGGGGTGAGGGAGAGGGTGAGGAAGGGGTCTGAGGGAGGGGTGTTGGGAGGTCTAGTATGGAACCCAGGGGTGTAATTGTCTCAGGTCAGCAAGGACACAGGGCACTTGAGCTCAGAGCCCGGAAGTACAGCTGGGTCTTGCACAATCCAGGGCCAGGTCTGGGAGAGATGACCCTGTTGACTGCAAACACAGGCCGGGCTTTGGGGGTGCTGACACAGCTTTGTTGTGTTGCTGCTTCCAGTCCTGCATGCTCAGCACCTTATGAGCAGGGCCGGTGGCTCCTCCCCAGAGGCTCACAGGGGCCCTGCCCACTGAGTGCCTCTCACACCTCTGCAGGAACCCTGGGTCTCAGCAACCACAGGGTCTGGCCTTCTCTGGGTGGGCCCTGGGCACCCACCCTCATGCAGACAGGCTCAGAATCTGGGAAGGGGTCCAGCCTCTTGTGCTCCCCACTGTCCCCAGCACCTGAGGGGGCACTTGGGACTGGGGGCATGCTGTCGTCACCACAGCCTGCTGGGGTCACATCACAGCTCAGAGCCTTCTCCCCCCAGCTGTAAGGTTAGCATGAGAATGGGGACTCTGGCTGGTGAGGAGCACCCACACTCCCACAGCTGGGGTCTGGCTGAGCAAATGCTGGATGGGTGTCAGTGGGACCCCAAATCCCGATCAGATCTGGAGAGGGAACCTTGCAGAGGGGCTGGGGGCGGGGTTGGGTCTCCATAGAGCAGGCTGCAGCCACAGGTAGAGGGAGTGAGCTACACTGCCTAAAACGGCTGGGAGGCAGCTGGTGGGAGACACTGGCAGTCCCTGGCTGGAAGGACGAGGACGTGCTGGGCTGGGGGCCACAGAGGCAGCAGCTGGAGGGGCAGCTTCCTCTGGTCACACCAGGTCAACAGCACCTGGAGTTAGTGATTCCCCTAAAGTGATTCCCTTATTTGAGAAAAAGACAAGAAAAATATGAAAGCATCTGGATTTTTTTTTTTTTTTAGACAAAAATCTCACCCTGTCACCCAGGCCAGAGTGCAGTGGCGCGATCTCAGCTCGCTGCAACCTGCGCCTCCTGGGTTCAAGCAATTCTCATGCCTCAGGCTCCTGGGTAGCTGGGATTACAGGCATGTGCCACCACACCCAGTTAATTTTTTTTGTATTTTAAGTAGAGACGGGGTTTCGCTATATTGTCCAGGCTGGTCATGAACTCCTGAGTTCAGGTGATCCACCCATCTCAGCCTCCCAAAGTGCTAGGATTACAGGCGTGAGCCACCACCCCTGGCCCAGCCCTCTGATTTTTAAGAATAATGCAGTGAGGAAACAGGCACTCCACTCTGATTGTAGACAGATGGAAGAGGAGGCCCTAGGAATAAAAGGGAGGGGTGGGCACAGGGTGTGGCATGGATCTGGTCCCAAATGGCCACCTCCTCAATACACCTGGAATCAGCTGCTCCTCCCTGCCTGGGCCCAGCACCTTGCATGGAGGCCCAGTCACCTCCCCCCTCATCTGACATGAGCTGCCCTTGTCCTTCCTCTGGGCATGTGGAGTGAATGGACCAGGTCCTTCAAGGATGAACCAGACATAAAGCACTGCCCTGGGAAAGGGAGCCTGTAGATCCCTCTCCTAAGACTTAGACTTAGAAGACATTTGCAGCCGGGTCGGTGGCTCATGCCTATAATCCCAGCACTTTGGGAAGCCGAGGTGGGTGGATCACGAGGTCAAGAGATCAAGACCATCCTGGTCAACAAGGTGAAACCTTGTCTCTACTAAAAATACAAAAATTATCTGGGCATGGTGGTGCGCGCCTGTAGTCCCAGCTACTTGGGAGGCTGAGGCAGGAGAATTGCTTGAACCCGGAAGGCAGAGGTTGCGGTGAGCCGCGATCGTGCCATTGCACTCCAGTCTGGGTAATAACAGCGAAACTCCGTCTCAAAAAAAATGAAAAGATATTTCCAGTGCTTTTAAGTGGGTAGGAATAAGCAGTGTCAAGGATGCGCGCACAGGGCACCTAAGTCGTGAAGAGACCCGAGCAAGAGAACCCTGTAAGGGAGTGAGGGGCTGAGACTGGGCTTCGGGCTGGCTCAGCAGTACCTCCTCACTTTGGAATAACCCACTGAGATCTCTGCCTGCGTATCTATCTTCTATCCATCATCTACTAAACTACCCATGTCATCTATTTCTCATCTATCATCCATCCATCCGTCAATCTGTTCATCTTTTACTTTTTTCATCAAATTAATACCACAGCTTCTATCAATCATCTCTATATCTATCCATCCATCTAACCATCTCATCTATCTGACTATCCATCCATCCAACATCCATCCATCCATGTATCTACCATCTATCAATCTACCTAATCATCTCTCTTATTATAGGAATAAGAGATAGAAGAGGTTAGGAATAAGAGGTTAGGAAACCCTCCCATCGCACTCTGTCCCTGTTGGCCATCCCCAGCTTTACGTGACTGTCCCCTACCTGCTTCCATACCTCACTGCTTCTCCAACACCAGCCCAGTTCACAGGGCTTGTGTACAGGCTGTCCTCGCCCTCAAACCTTCTTCCCAAACTTCCCCATGGCCACTCGCCATCATCCCAGGTCGCCTACTGACCTCCCAGCCCATCCCTCCTGAGCTCCCTGTGTCCCTCCACACCCACCCCCACCCAACTTGGCGGGTACATCTTGTTCACTTTCCAGGTCCCCCATGAGAACAGAGCTGGGTCCACAGGCAGGACAGGCTGGAGTGGATACCTCAGGTCCTAGGACCCCCATGGGGGCTGGCAAACCCTCCAAGAAGCTAGCTTGGCTCTGAGCAGCTCCTGGGCCTGTTCTTTGTCTGTCCCTTGGCTGCTGTGACAGGTGCACAGAACCTAGCACATACAGGCAGGTGAATGAGTTCTGCCCCAGACATTTCCTGAGCACCTACTATGTGCTGGACAGTGCTGGGTGCAGAAAAGTGGTGGCATCTGGTGGGAGAGCCAGGTCAGATCAAGGATCCTCAAGTAGGAGATGCAGACAGGAATGTGGGTGCCAAGCCCTGCCCCCGACTCCAGCAGAGCCCCTTGGCCCTCAGGAGACCCAGCAAGCAGAACCTTCCTTCTTGGAGTGCCCGCCCTGGACTTGGGCTGGACTCAAGACACCAGCTCTGGAGGGAGAGTCCACCTGGCCACACTGTCTCTGGCGACATGGACAGTGACTCTAACCCAAGACACCAAAGCGTAAACTGCAATGGGGCCGAGAGAGTGACCAAGGAGAGGCGGCATCAGACTGGTTAGAAAGGCCTCCAGGGCAACTTTAGAGCTAAGCCCCACCAGCCGATGGGGGCCTGGAAGGAAGCTCTTCAAGGGGCAGCAGCACAGGCTGAGGACTGAGGCGGGAACCCCAGAAGTCAGGGTCAGAGCTGGTGGAGTGGTTGGTGAATGAGCCTGGGAGTTGGTAGGCAGGGAGGTTGGGGGTGGCCAGCATAGGTATCTGAGTAGGGGAGGCCACCTGGGCTCGGGGACCGCAGGGGGTCAGGGTGCACACACCCAACTGGGAATGGCCCAGGGCCCAGCACAGCCATCTGAGTTCAACCCTACAGCTCGATCCAGGGAACTTCCCCTGCTAGCCAAAGGAGGAGGAGCTAAGACGTGCTGGTCAACATCCGGCTGCCAATGTGCGAGGTCAGGCACACGGCGGGCCCTCCCTCCTGCCTGGCTGCCAGCCAGCCCACACCACAGGCCACAGCCACATCAGGGACCCAGCGCTGGGCAGCGCATATCTGAGTCAGCCCTGGCCACACAACCTGCGGCCAAGGCCATGTCGCCTCCTCTTGGAAGCGCGTTTCACACCCACCATGTACCTTCCCATCTTCCTTTTCAACTAGCGCATCTAAGAGCTACTTTTCAAACCCTCTATGGAACAAACACAAAAGCAGAGAGAGTAGTGCCACGAGTCCAGCTCCTCAGCATCCACACGGTTCACCAGATGCCAGTTTCCCCCAGGAGTGCTTTAGAGCAGACCCCAGGTTAGAACCCTTCACTCAGGAGTGCCTCTGCTATCTGTCACTTCAGGAATGGGGCTGTGCAGACCTGGTGTCAACACAGACACAGGACTACAGGGTGGGGGCCACTCATCCATCTGAGGAACCGAGAGCTGGAGCCACCCCAGGTCATGGGGCTCAGCCCGGATGGGGACAGAGGAAACGTGATGAGGAAGTAAGTGGGGCCTCAGCAGTGCTGGAGGCCTCGCCCCCTCCCCTGTGTGCCATGAAAGCTGCTTGGAGAAAAGGGCAGAGGCTGGCAGGAGATGCTCAGGTACCTCACCTGAAGGGGCCAGGTTGGGGACCCACAACCAGATGCAGAGGCAGTGAGGGAGGACGGATGGGGCAGGGTGGCCCCACCCCCACCTGAGGCCACCAGATGCTCTGAATCTAGCGGGATGAGGGGTTGGGACTGGGAGGGGTGGTGGACAGTGGGTATAGGGGGTTTGGGGAAGGGGAACCAAGGGAAAGAGAGGGAAGCACCAGATATAGGAGGCCTAGGAGCCAGCTTTCCACTGGGTGAGGGGTCCTGTGGGGCAGGTGGGCCCCAAGAGTCCAGGACCTGGTCCTGGCGTGGCTCTCAGCTCCCCTCTGCCCAGAAAATGTCCCCACTGACCACAGGCATCACTGGACACCGTTTCAGGGAAGCAGCAACTTCGGACTTGGTTGGGGAGAGAGACCCAGGGGCAGAACCTCAAGAGAAAAATGCAGCCGGGCAGGAAACAGCGCTGGAAATGTGCGAGGAGGGACAGGACACCACCACACACCTGCTCCTGCCCAGGTCAGAGGTCACCAGGGGCTGCTGATGCCAATGACCTCAGACTTCAGCCTCTGTGCCTAAAACCTCACCCCAAGCCAAGATTCTGGAGGGGGCGGCCCTGGCCAGAACCACGTGCTTCCAACGTCCCTGCAGGGCAGCTGGAGAGGGGACGGGAAGGCCAAGACTGGTCCAGCCCTGGGAGCAAGGAGGTGAAATGTGGAGCCCAGTGAGAAACATAGGCTTTATTAGTCATTCATAATTAGAAAAGTGGGTGCTGGGCTCTGCCTGGTCACTGCTGGTGCAGGGTATATGCAGGGTCTACGGCCCTCATGGATCTGGCTGGCTCCCTCTTGATGGCCACCAAGCCCAGGCATTGAGACCAGAGCCAGAGGCTACCATAGGGCCAAAAGGCAGCTCTGGCTCTCCAGGGTCCCTGGGTTAGGCAGCGGGCAGACGCTGGGGTCACCATGCAACCCAGACAGGGCCCAGGGGAGATGTGGACGCTGGTGATTCGGCAGAGAGAGAGACATCTCCTTGTCCTTCCGGAATGTCCTGAGACAGAGGCTGGCCCTGGTCCCTCATCCAACTCATCCACAGACCTGCTGTGTCCTTGGGTGGGTCGAGACCCTTCTCTGGGCACAGGTCTCTGGCTGGCCAGTTCTGACCCTCTGGGCCATTGTGGCCAGCCCCCATGTGCCAGAATGGCCAGCCCGTATGTGCCAGGAGGGAGCTGCCTCCTGGGAACAGCAGCCAAGAGACAAGAGTGGCCTACCCCATGGTGGTCAGCCAGTCAGAGCAAGGGCTGGTCCAGGGACACAATGGAGATGAGGCCAGCCTGGGCTCTGGCAGTCTGGGGAGTGCCATGTGCAGCAAGGTGGACACCTCATGGGTACAGCGTCTCCTGGGGTCGGGCAGCTGAGCTGCAGGGCAAGCAGCATCCAGGGTCCTGGAAAGGAGATAGAGGAGAGGCTCTGAGTCTGTAACGAGGGAGAAGAAAGGCTCCAGGCCTGGTAAGGAGGGAGAGGAGAGGCTCCAGGCCTGGGAAGGAGGGAGAGGAGAGGCTCCAGGCCTGGGAAGGAGGGAGAGGAGAGGCTCCAGGCCTGGGAAGGAGGGAGAGGAGGGCTCCAGGCCTGGGAAGGAGGGAGAGGGGGGCTCCAGGCCTGGGAAGGAGGGAGAGGGGGGCTCCAGGCCTGGGAAGGAGGGAGAGGGGGGCTCCAGGCCTGGGAATGAGGGAGAGGAGAGGCTCCAGGCCTGGGAAGGAGGGAGAGGGGGCTCCAGGCCTGGAAAGGAGGGAGAGGAGAGGCTCTGGGCCTGGGAAGGAGGGAGAGGAGAGGCTCCGGGCCTGGGAAGGAGGGAGAGGAGAGGCTCCGGGCCTGGGGAGGAGGGAGGGGGGCTCTGAGCCTGAAAGGAGAAGCAAGGCTCTGAGCCAGGCTGTGATCAGCCCCAAGTGTCAGGGCTATTTGGACACCTGACTTAGGAAGGAGAAGGGCCCAATTCTGACATGAGAGGTGTTAAAGCACTCCATGCCTCAGTTTTCCCTCTGAAAAGGGAATGAATATAGCATGGCTGGGTTACTGCCAGGACTTAAAGGCCTGGTCCAGCACAGGGGGCTGGGGCTGGCAGCTGTGATTACAGACACCTACCCAGCCTAAGACCTCTCTGGCTGCTCCAGGCAGGACACACAGCAGACTTGGCCTCGAGGCCTCCGAGGACAGCCTTAAGGGCACCACTGGGTCCCCATGTGGCTCTCAGGCCCAGCACCCTCTTCCTGGCAGGCAGATAACTGATGCTTGGTAGAGTTAGAGACTGCATCAGCACACACAGCAGGTGATTAATAAATGACCTGGCCACATGCCCCAAGCCAGGGAGCAGCTGGCATCTAGGTGTTCTGGAAGGGGACAACTTAACAACAAACTGGAGGCAGCCGCTGGACAGTGACCCGGAGCCCACGTGGGACCACCCAGAACAGGGCACTGCCAGAGGGTGACTTCAGGCTCCATGGCCAGGACACTGGGGGTCGGCGTGACCCCACTGGGGGAATGGTCACGAGTGAGGGTAGGGAAGCTTGAAGAGGCCATGGGCCATCACGAGCAGTGGCCACTCCTAGCTGGTTCTATGTGAGAAGGGTGAGGCCAAGTGGATGCAGGGCGCTCCAACCCACCCTCGGGCCCCAGAGCCCCACCTCAACCTTCACTATGCCCTCTTAGGGAAATTTTTATACATCTTTGACACACAGGTGCTCTGCCCCCAAGCACACTGCTTCTGTCTACTCTGCCGTGGGCCACCACTGGTGGAGAGATGGCCATCTGCCAGGAGCGCCCACTCCTCCCTTGGCAACTCACCTCCACCTCTGCTACAAACCCGACAATGACCCCTAGGCCTGAGGTCGTGGGGACAGTGGTGTATGGACCTAGCCTGGCTTCGTGGACTGTCATGTGTGTGCCATGTGGTCCTCGCCACGGCTGCATTCCAGGCCTTCCTGCTTCCAGGCTGTGTGTCACTGGGCAGACGCTCACCCTCTCTGAGCAAGGACACAGGGAGAGGCTGTGTGTGGTGTGGAAAGTCTTCCTACACGGGAGCCTCTTCCCGTGGGGACAGCCTCAATCTGCAGCCTGCACACAGCCAGAGTCCGGCCCAGGGCAGGCAGCTCAGACTCTGTGAGGCCCGGCAAAGGGCAGACTTGAAGAGTCACAGGGGCTCCATGACAAGATGCCCAATCCCACTGTCCTGGTCAGAGTGGCACAGTGGGGTGGGCATGTCAGGCAGGCAGTCATACCAGGGCCCCTTTTTCTCAGATGAGGGTTAGGAGGAAGCTTCACTTGCTAAGTGGAGGTAGTAAGGGGTGCAGGGCCCCTGATTTATCAAAGAAGCTGGAAATCTTCAGGTTTTTGGTATATTCTTGAGACAGAGTCTCATTCTGTCACCCAGGCTGGAGTGCTGTGGTGCCATCTTGGCTCACTGCAACCTCTGCCTCCTGGGTTCAAGCGATTCTCCTGCCTCAGCCTCCTGAGCAACTGGGATTACAGAGATGCACCACCATGCCCAGCTACTTTTTGTATTTTTAATAGAGATAGGGTTTCACCTTGTTGGCCAGGCTGGTCTCGAACTCCTGACCTCAAGTAATCTGCCCGCCTCAGCCTCCCAAAGCGTTGGGATTACAGGTGTGAGCCACCATGCCTGACCCAGATACCTCATTTCTTTCTTTTTTTTTTTTAGTTTCTTTTTTCTCTGACAGACATTCTGAATGCATAGAAATCTTATGTTTAAGTGAGTTCCCCAGACTTTTAAATGGTGGCTCCTAAACACCTTCCATTTCAACACTGTGTCTAAAACAGGTGGCCAGCACCATGAGCAGGGCTGGCCTCAAGGTAGTGGCCAGGCATTGGCCTTGCAGGTGTGGACGAGGGTGCCCGTGGCCTAAGAAGCTATGCCAGACTGGCTGGCCAGGGATTTGCCACACTGCAAGAGCCTCTGACAGCGAGCAACCCCAGGACTGTAGGTCTCACGCCCCATCTCCCAGCTCACCTGGGTGCCCTACTGCTGGGGCGCCATGTCCATCAAGGGCTTCTGGACCCCGAAGGCCGTGATGAAGATGTTGACCACCACGATGATGAACACCAGGCCTGTGGCCAGGTTGTTGAGGAAGTCCAGCTTGGCATGCTTGGCCGGGTTGTTAAGGTCGTACTTGACTGTGGGCAAGAGGAGTGGACAGTGCCAAGGGTAGCCCAGATGGAGCGTCCAGCCCGGGACAGTGGGAGGGGACCCACCCCGGTGGTCAGACTGTCCTGGGACACTACAGTGCCCTCAGTGGCATTTAGGATGAGTTTTGTCCCCCAGAGAAAAATACATCTGTTTTGCTGAAACACTGACCGTAGCGCCCCTGGCTTGGGCAGCCCCACTGTCTGTGACCCCACCTTCTGTAGCCCCCGCACTTTTTAGGAATTGAAGCTATGGATGTCAACCCAAGGCCAGGCTTGGGCAAATGCACTGAGCTCTTTGTGTGCCTTAATCTAGTGATTCCTGCCACAAACTGCAGGTCTCAGGTGCCTGTTTAATAGGTTCAGCCACTTGCCCAAGGTCACACAGCCAGGAGGAGGACCCTGGTCCCATGGACATGGCAGAGGCCATCTCACGGCATGGGTCAACAAGAACCTGGTGAAGCACCTGCCCTAATGCCCACAGGCCAGGCCCTGACTCTACTCTGTGTGGTTCATACCTGTCATTCCAGCACTTTGGGAGGCTGAGACGGGAGGATCACGTGAGCCCAGGAGTTTGAGACTAGCCTGGGCAGCATGGCAAGACCCCATCTCTACCAAAAATGAAAAATATTAGCTGGCATGGGGGCACACAGCTGTGGTGCAGGCTGCCTGGGAGGCTGAGGCAGAAGGCTCGCTTGAGCCTAGGAGGTTGAGACTGCAGTGAGCCGCAAGAAGACAGAGCAAGACCCTGTCACACAAACAGAACGCAATGAGGCCGAGTGTGCTGATTCACACCTGTAATCCCAGTATCTTGGGAGACCAAGGCTGTTTGGATCACTTGAGCTCAGGAGTTCGCCTGGGCAACAAGGCACAACCTCATCTCTGCAAAAGATACAAAAATTAGCCGGGCGTGGTGGCGAGCGCCTGTAATCCCAGTTACGTTGGGGGCTCAGGTGGGAGGATCGTTTGAGCCCAGGAAATGGAGTTGCCGTGAGATGAGACTGAGCCACTGCATTCCAGCCTGGGTGATGGGGGCACTCCATTTCAAACAAAACAAAACGAAAACCGAAGTGCAGGGTGGGGAAGGTGCCACTTCCAGGACTGCATGTCCAGGGACCTGGCAGCTCCTTGAGAGCCGAGTATGCAAGGTGGTGGGCACCCATTCCAGGCAGTGTGAGCAGATGCCAGCAAGGTGAGCAGGCAGCCCGGCCACCCCGACCCAGCGACCCACCGAGGAAGATGAGCAGCACCCCTACGCCAATCTGCAGTGCCAGGGAGATGGAGATGAGGACCACCAGGGGCACGTAGAAGGCGAAGCTGGGGCCCTGTTCCACAATGGCCTTCAGCTGGGACGCGTTGGCCATCAGCAGCGCGATATCCAGCATGCTCTCCGCCGCACTCTTCTTGTTGGCGTAATGGTTCACGTTGATGGGCCTGTGCCTCCAGCCCCAGCGGGGCAGCTGCAGGGAGGGGGACGGTCAGCGGCGCGGGTCGGGGAGGCGGCAAGGGCTGTGTCTGGGTCTGGCTATGGGGGTGGGCAGGGCCCTGCAGGTGAGGGCTTCCCTTGTCCCCACCCCTGGTAACTATTCAGACAGAAGGGCTTATTACTCTAAGGAGAGGCAGCGAGAATGTGCTTGGCTTTTATGAAACCTCCCCTAGGAATATAGTTCTGGAAAGGAAATGACACAGCAGCCTCAGTACACGCACTCTGGTTTTCCACTGGAAAGTGCTGCCCGATCCTCCTCCTCCTTCTATAGGCGGGGCTGCTCCTCCCTGCCTGCCCCTACCCGCCTGTGCCCCCGGCCTCCTCTCCCCCTCCCCTCAAGGTCTGGGCTCCTGGTGCCAGCAAGGGAAGTGACGTGTGGGCGGACGGATCTGTGCACACTGGCCCAGGCAAGAAAGCACCCTTTTTGGGCTGCACCTAAGGGCTGAGATGGCTCCTGCCACCTCCCAACCTCCCAGCCTTGGGGCCCAACAGGCCACTCAGCCTCCAGGCCTCAGCACAGGACTTGCAAAACTATCCGGCACCCAGAGCGTGGTCCCCACACAGCAGGCACTCAATCGATATGACATCCAGTGGAGCTCAGCTTCCACATTAATTCTCAGAGTAATGACATGGGGATGCAAGCTCTGATGGAATCCTCTCTGCCTTAGGTTAGGGGCCCATCTGGGAGGGCCCCCTGCAGTTCTCTTGAAGGCCCCAGTGCCTTTCCCTGTTGCCAGATACTCTCATGCTCCAAGGCCCCACACAGAGGCCACTGCTTCCAGGAAGCCTCCCAGGACTTCCCCAGGCAGGACATGACCCTCTCTCCTGCCACAGGAAGGTCCTCTCTAGGGCTGGCCTTTCATTCCAAGGCAGCCCTAAGTACCCAACCTCCTCTTTCTCAGGAAGCAAGAGTCCGTCCCTTTCAAGCTGCCCTGGTGGAGCCCCTCTTCAGTCACACAGGACAAACCTGCCAGCCCCCTGACCTGGCCCTTTGTCTGTAGGTGCCCCTCAGCCACAGGGCCCTGGACCACAGCCCCGCAGGACTAGTCACCTGCTTGGAGGCAGCTGTAAGAACCCACTGCTGGCAGCTGACCTCCTGGGGCCCGCTCTGGGAGATCCTGTTTCCAGACTCATGAAAGATGCAGGCTGGGAGGCCGGGGTGTCACAGGGCTGCAGGGAGGGGCGGACAGGGGCATCCATTCATGCCTCGACTTTCTGCAGGGTGGAAAACATGCACAATGAAAAATACACGAGGCAGCCAATACAGAACTAGCAGAGGGCAAGGGCCTTGCTTTCATGCTGTGTGTGTTTCACTTTCATCTAAAATTATGTGCCCAGGAGGAAGAAAGAGTGGGCGTCGGGGGACAGAGGCAGGCTCTGCTGCCTACACCTGGGCCCGCGAGCATTCCAACAACCTGCCTTCGGCATCAGCTGCTCTCTAAGTAGCAAGTTCACGTGGACACGAGTGTGCACAGGAACAGCTGCCTTCACCCAGGCCAGCCAGCAGCCCTGTCCCTGGGGCCCCGGTGGGTTCTCGGGTCGCTCCACACATACCCCAAAGCCACTTTGGGGTCTCTATTTTGCCTCTCCCACCCTAGGCCTGACTCTGCACTCCCGGGGATTCCCTCAGGCCCCAGAACACGAGGACATGGCTACCTCCTCCCAGACCACCCAGGGTCTGGGCAAGGATGGCCCGGACTGAGGGCCTATGTCCAGCACTGAGGTCGCCTCCAGCTCTGCTCTTGAGAAGCCACCCAGTGGGCCACACCCCATTACACATGTGTTCCGCAGGGTGCAGTGTCCCGGGGGCTGCTGGCCACAGTGGGCATGTGCTTCTAAGTTTCACAAACCCCAAGTGACAAACTGCCTCCCATCAAGGCCACCCTAATACTCATTTGGGTCCCCATCCCAGGACTTGGTACTAGGAGAAAAAGGCCAAGTGCAGACCCCGTGAGGATTTCCACCTTCTGGGGGCATCTACACATGTATGTGCGGGTTCCTAGTCACACAGACACAGAAACACACATCCCCTCACAGAAAGACACATTACATACAATATAGCACATGCACATACATACACAAACTACGCACACATAAACAGACACACATACCCAGACTAACCGTGTTGGTCCCTGGACAGGAGGAATAAGTCCCTTTTTTCTTTTTTTTTTTGAGATGGAGTCTTGCTCTTGTTTCCCAGGCTGGAGTGCAGTGGCTCAATCTCAGCAAACTGCAACCTCTGCCTCCCGGGTTCAAGTGATTTTCCTGCCTCAACCTCTCGAGTAGCTGGAATTACAGGTGCCTGCCACCATGCCCGGCTAATTTTTGCATTTTTAGTAGAGACAGGAGTTTGCCATGTTAGCCAGGCTGGTCTCAAACTCCTGACCTTGTGATCTACCTACCTTATCCTCCTACAGTGCTGGGATTACAGGCGTGAGCCACCACACCCAGCAAGAAGTCCCTTTTTTCTGAGCTCTGCAGAACCATTTAAATATTTCATAGCCATGCAGTCACAGGGGACACTCAGATCCATTAAAAAGCATCATCTGCACAGAGCCTCCAGGTCCCCAAGCTTCAGCTCTCAGCACCCCCGGCCACAGGGAGCCTGTGCCCCTGCTGTCCTCATGCCCACTTAAGGTGGGTTAAACTGAGGCTCAGCAAGAAGGTTCCTTACCCAAAGTCACATAGCAAGTGAGTGCTGGGCTAGGATTTGAACCCGGGCCTGAGGGCTCAGAAGCCCTGGTGGCTGACACCACTGTCCCTCCCCTTAGGGGCTGAGCGCTCAGGGGCTCCCTGCTTCAGGCTCCAGCTGTGTAACTTCAGGACAACAAGCCCCACTTCGTGCCTCAGTCTCCCATGTGTATCACGAGGCTGTGGAGCAGATGCCCCGGGATGGCCTCCAAGCCCTGAGTGGCCAGCAAATGCCCTACGCACACACCCCTGCTACAGAAGGGCACTTACAGCCCATCCGGTCGTCTGCTTCCTATCCAACCTGCTGTTAGGGAAGCTTCTGCACAAGGGTCAAGCCCTGGCTCACCACAGCCCAGCCCGTGGCCCTGGCGCAAGCTCCCCCTCTGTGGGCCTCAGTCTCCCCCTCCGTACATCTGGGGCTGCACCTGAGAAACTCCCACTCGCTGAGTGAGAGGCCATGTTCCTCTCCCATTCTACAGACCAGCAGATTCCAGCTCGGAGGAGGTTTGCCCAGAGCCACCTCCCAGGACTGTGTCCCAAAGTGTAAGGCTGCCCTAGGATACGGCGTAGCTGGCAACCACCCCGGGCAGCAGGCCATCTTGGGAGCGTCACGTGGAAGGGAAGGCAGCAGGGCTGGTCTGCTTCCCTGTCCCTAACCTTGGCGCTCCGGGCCTTGGAGCTCTGGAGCTGATCACCACATAGAAGGTTCCCAGGGAGGATGACCCCACTCTCCCACACTCCTGGGCACTTGCCCCTGTCTTGGGATGGGCTTTAGGATGGCCAGGGGACCCAGCCACCACAGGGGAGGGAGCCCTGTGACCCTGACCAGCCAGCAGAAGCTGCCAGGAGCTGAGCCTTGCCGAAACCTGAGCCCATGGCTTAGGCAGAGCAGAGAATAAACACCATGGTTAATATAGTCCCAGGGCCAATGGGACTTCCCCAGAACCTCAGCAGTGCCCGGGGCCTGGGGCCAGGCCAGGTATTTTTCCTTTGAAAGCTAGGAAGGAGGCTGGGTGAGGAGGTAGGCTCTGTGCAGGGGTGTGGCCAGCTCCTGTTGCTACCTTCTATGGATAGTCAGCCTCACCACTGCAGGCTGCACGTGTTGGGGCTGGGACACAGGGTGGGTCCTAGGGCCACTTCAGTGAGCATCCTCAGCTCAGGCAGGAGGAGCTGGCACAAATGTGGGATATGAACCAGGCTTGCTGCATCCACAGGCCTGGCTCTGGCCATAGCGTAATGGGTACTCCGGCCCACCCAGGGCTCCTACCCTAGGAGGAGACAGGGTCGGGGGCTGTGGCCCCACAAATGTGGTGATGCATATCAGCCGCCCCCTTCCAAGGGCCTGTGAGGAGCAGGGCTGGGAGCTGCCATAACACTGACCAGTAGGGTGACCACTGTATGCCTCAGTTTCCTCATCTGTAAAATGGGCAGACAAGGATGTGGAGGGGACTGAATGGGGTGGTCTCAGAGGCCCGGTGGTGGGTGGAGCACATGGCAGTAGGTGGCAGGGTTGGGGTGTTCTTCATTGACGCCTAACTCTCACTGTTTTGAAAGACTACCTCCCCAGCCAACTCCACCCACTCAAAGGCAGCTGAACAGGCTCACAAAATAGTGGCACAGCAAAGAAAGGACAGCTTGGGGCACAGGTTCTCCTGTGCTAACCGGGACCCAGCTGGGCAACGAGGATGAGTTGCCAGTGGTCCCGGTCTAGAACTTGGCTGCCTGCAGCCTGTACTGCTCCCCAGCCCTAACCCTTGGATGCAGCAGGCATGAGCAGATGGCGGGGGGACCTGAGAATCAGGCACCCCTCTTCCACCTACCATATGCTAGGACCTGCCTGGGGCCTCCTGCATCCCTTGGCTGACCCACCAGTGGGGGCATGAGCTGCTGTGCCCATCCATTCCACAGATGCCACATAGACAGGTGGGGGCTGGCACTGGAGCCCTGCACCATCTCCTACCAGCCAGCCCAGGATGCAGCTCCTGAGAGAGTCTCCCAGCTCCACGTGTGTTCCCAGCAGTGAACCCCAAGACAATAGGAAGTGCTGCCAGGCGGGGTCCCCACTGCAGCTGGGCCAGACAGACCCACTTCCCTCCGACTCAGCACTGGCCAGGAGTGGCCCTGAGACCATGTTAGGGTTGCCGTTCAGAACTTGGCCCAGACTCTGCTGGCCTTGGGACCTGCCAGGAAAGCAGAAATGAGGGAGCAAACTTCCCCCGGGAAGCTGAGGCCATGTGCAGCCCAGACAGCTGGTGTACAGGGCACAACCGCGTGCCCCTGAGGACCAGGCCTCTTGGCTCAAATGTGACCCCAGGAACCTTCAACCTGTGGGCTGTGAGGGGTGGGAAGATGTAGTTGGCACCAGAGGACCATGTCCCAATCTCATCCCCACCGCTTCCCTGCCTTGAGACACCCTGGGGATGACAGATTCAGGCCATTTTCACATTAAAATTGTTTACTCTTCCTTGTGCTGACAGCCACAAGTGAGCTGACTCAACCCCTGGACAATGATGGGGGCCCTGACATGGAGGGACACGGGGCACAGGGCACACAGGGTGGGGGAGACCTGAGAGCTTCCCATGGCCCTGACCCAACACAGCCCACTAAGGCCAGAGTTCCACATGCAGCTCCTCCCTAAGCCTCGGCCACCCTGGGAGGTGAGCAGTTATACCACATCCAACAGAAAAGGAAACTGAGGATCTCCTTGGGTTCCATGCTGGGCAAAGTGCTGCCCTCTCCAAACCACTGCCAGGGGTCACCACTGGGAGAGGGTCTCCATGGCAGGCGGGAGTGAGGATCAGGGCACTGAGAGCTGGCCTGGCTCCAGGCACTTCATGCACATCAGCCACTGAGTCCTCACCATGACACTGCAGCAGGCACCGCTTCACGCCCATTTCACAGATGAGACACTGAGGCACAGAGTACTGACATGATATACCCAAGAAACGGAGAGGCAGGATCTTGAGGGTGGGAGAAGGAAAGGGTGTTGGGTGTGCCCGGACCCCCAGGCTGGGTGAATAGAGTGGCCCCCCCAGGTTTTCTACCCCTCAAGGAGAAATGAGCTCATCCTCACACTGGCTCATAGCCTTTCCATAGTTCCCTGAATGCCAGACCACGACCAGGCCTGCAAGGCCCCTTCCGGCAGCCTGGCTTCCCATCCCTGCACCTCCTACCTGGCCCTCCCGTGCTCCGTGGTCCAGCCTCTGAGCCTTTGCTCCTGCCATTCCTTCTGCCTAGATGCCCTTCTCAGAGAGCCAGATCTGCCTACCTGCCTTTTCCGCCCTCCAGGGCTCAGCGCTAATGTCCCCACCTCCACAGAAAACCTTCCCTGACCACCATGCCCCCCCACAGTGGGCTGCCAGCCCCTAGGGAACGCTGCGTTTTGCCTTGGCTTCTCCTGCACTGTCAGGGCTGGGCTGCTCTCCAGCCTCCACTCGGAGGAGCAGGGCTGTGTCTCCCTCCCTCTGGTGCCCAGAGCCAAGACAGTGATCTGGGAACAAACCCAACCCAAACTCCTCTGGGCCTGAGATGCACCCAGAGCCTCCAGGAGGTACAGCGCACCCTGCCACCTGCAGAGGTGCACAGAGACTGCTCTGAGTGGAGGGCATTGCACGGGCAATGTCCAGTGGGGGAGGATCAGTATCCTTCCCTTTCCAAGGTGTTCCCCAACCACCTCCGTTTATTAACTGACTTGCTTCCCCCACTTCCTGAAGGCAGGAGGGAGCCTGTTCTCTCTTTTTAAGACCATATCTAAAAGGCCTGGCGAGCTTTGACACCTTCACAAGGACACAAAGTCGGAGGGCCCCCCTGCCTATTGCTCCAAAGTGCTCACATGCTGGTGCAGGGCCAGGTCCCTTGTGTCCCGCACACCAGTCAAGTCCTGATGTGCGACAGCTCCTCTCAGCCCTGTTTCCTCATCTCTAACCTAGGGACAAGTGTCCATGAAGCCCCAGGGCCACCCTATCCTGTGGCTCGTGGGGCCCCTCCTCCCTGAACACGGCCTGTCCCCACGGCCCCAGCCTAGAACTGTTCACCAGCACCTGAGCAGGGTGTCTTTGCCCCAGTCTGGTCCCCGCCATGGAGAGGCCTGGAAAAACCCAGCAGGCTGCTGTTCCCTGCCCCCATCCCTGGTTGGGGGTGTTGAAAAGGAAAGAATGTCCAAAGTAAACAAGTCACCAGAGGGCCATGCCAGGACCTTGCAGCAAACACAAGGTGCTCGGTAAGTGCAGCGTCCTGGGATGAAGAATTCTGAAGCGTGGACCATTGCCAGCCTGCCAGCTGCCCACAGCCTTCCCAGGCCCGGCGGGGCAAGCTCTGGAGGGCCTGTAGGGGGATACCCTAAAGGCTGTGTGACGAGTCTATTTCTCAAGGTGAGTGAGTGGAATAGGGACCACAGCGGGCCCCAAGTTCTCCCATCAAGGCACGCATCAGATTGTGTGGTCACCTCGTGGTGACGTAACTGTCTGCACGCTGCTGGCCTGGAGCCCGGAGGCAGTGACTCCTCTCTGCCGGTCCCCGGGCAAAGTGCGCAAAGGAGCCGGCATGGCGAGGCTGAAGTTAGAGAGAGCGGCGCGGGAGAGGGGGGACGCCAGGAAAGCGGGGCGCCAGCAGTCCTTAGCCGGAGGAGGGGCGCCCAGACCCCCGCCGCGCAACCAAGCGCGGGCACTGCTTAGTGGGCCTGGGGACGCCAGCCCGCCCTGCGGCCCTGCGCCCCAACGTCCTACCCACTTGCCGGGGTGGCTGGAGCTCCCGGGGGCATCGTTCTGACCCCGACGGGGCGGGACGGACTTGGCCTGGACAGAGCGTCCCCGCTACTCTGCAGTGTGGACACGGCGCGCACTCGGCCCGGCGCCCACAGGTGCCCGGGGAGCCGCGGGGCCCGAGAGGACTGGGCGGGGCAAGGTCACGCGGCGGTGGGGGGAAGGTCTTACCGAGGTGTCCGGGGAGCCGGACGTACCCGGGGGCAGGACGCCGTTGAGCTCGTACTCGTCGGTCCCCGAGTCCATGGTGCGGCCGCCTGGGCCGCCTGGGCCGCCTGGGCCGCCTGGATCCGGGGCTGAGCTCGCCGGAGCCTCCGCCGCGGGTTCCAGCTGTGCGCCCGCACCCGGCCCAGACTCCGCCTCCACCTGGGGCGGGCCCGGGGCTCGGAGGCCGGACGCGGAAAGCACGCAGTCAATGGCTACCCCAACCTCTCCGGCCTGAGACGCCCCCGCGAGGTCCCCCAAGGGAGAGGGGCGCGACGCACATGGCCCCAGGGGACCCCGCGCGGGGTCTTGCTTTGAATCTCCTTCGCGGACACTTTTAATCCACAAAATGAGGTCAAGAACAGACCTTTCCCTGGCCACCGAGCAAACCGTGGGAAGGCGAGCGGGCGTTGCCGCTGGCGCCCACGTTGGGTTTTTCCCAGGCAGGGTTCGCCCGAGAACCGCGTAACGCTCCAGCACAGCGCCTGCCGCCCCCCTAGTGACAGTGTCAGATAGTTCGGGGGCTCTCCTGACTGCAGGCCACGCTGGCACGGGGCTTGCCCAGTGGCAGAGGGGATAAACGTGCGCTGGGCCTCACTTGGTGTCAGTCCCTCCCGCACGATGGAGCCGCCTCCACGATGGAGCCGCCTCCACTTTGGGGGCGAGAGGGGGCCCGCCTTGCCCTAGGGCGGCAGTCTGTGCCCAGGCCAGTCACCAGGGTATGGGTAAAGTGTGTTGGCCCTTCCAGACCTTGGCTCAATCGTCCTTTTTCCCCCCAGGACGTCCTGGTGAGCCTTTTCCAGGCTGGAAAGCCAGGTGAGATGCAGAGGACGTTATTTCCCCTTGTGGCACTGGCTGCAGGAGCTTGGGGTGAAGTCTGGGCTGCTGTGTCTTCTACTTCAGGCCTTGACCTCACTCCCAGATCCAACTGCTTTATAGCCACCCACTCCTCCAGGGCCCACCCAAGACGTCCATTCTTTCACCGTGTCTGCCGATCCCTCCGCTAAAACCTCCAAAAGAGTGAGCCGACCCTTGATCCTCCCGACCTCCCTGGGGAGGTCAGATGGGGGCCAGTCTGCCAGGACTCTACGTCCCAGAACTGCCACCGGGTAGCTATGTGGGCTCAGGCAGGTGGCTTAATCTCTCTGTGCCTCAGCTTCCCTGTCAGTGCTATTAGCATAAGGCTGGGGTTTGGTCAAGGTCTGTGAGGATGATCCCTTCCCCCTCCCTATGAAGAAACAAGAGCAGAAAGATTAGGTAGCAGTGCGCAAGATCGTCAGGCAGCTCCTCAGGGCAGCCTGGGCCCTAGCCCAGCCTGGAGCTGCTTCCTGCAAGCGGGAGCCTGCTCCTGTGGGGCTGATGCGGTCCGACAGTGAACAAAAGACATGGACAGCTGCGTCAGTTCTTGTTTTACTGTCAGCCCTGAGAAGTGGGCATCCCGCACCGACCTGACAGGGGAGGAAACTGAGGCACAGCTTGGGAGAGGCCCAGGAGGGAGCCCTCAGCCCTGGAACCCCTGCTCAGAACAGCTGAGGAGGCTGTGCTGTTCCCTAGGCCGCAGCTTGCCGGCCCTATCCCCTGCCTCACTGGAGGTTCCTTCAGGTGAGGTCTGCTTGGCCCCCAGGCTGCACAGATGGCCACCCAGCCAGCCTTGGAACCCAGTGCCCGCCTCTCCCATGTGGAGCCCCCGTACTTCCCATAACCCATGCCTCACCCCTGCTGGGGGAAGGGGCGAGTTTTGTAAGTGAAACTGAAGGCACAGAAAATGCAAGCCACCAGGAGTGATTTTTCAGGAAAAAGGGAATCTTCCACCCTGTCTAGGCCTGGCTTCTGAGTTATGGGCACATCTGTGTAGCCTGTGGCAGGGGGTAGGCTGGCAGCAGCACAGTACCCAGAGCTCTGGCCAGCTGCTAGGTGGGCCCCCACCTGTTGTATGCTTGAGGTGGCTGCTTGGCCTCTGTTTCTCCATCTGTTCATTCCTCAGCTCTTTCCCCACCGGGGGTTCTGGGGGTCAAGAGCATGTGAGGGTCGTCCCTGGGAGGCCAGGGGAGTTCATTGTGACCACAGGGTAGTCAGCGTGTGGCAGTGTGGCCACCCTGTTAGGAAGGAAGGCCAGCTCAGACCCTAAGTTCTGTCCAGCCAGGCTGCCACCGGGACAGGAGGTAGAAGTGTGTGGGCATGGGCAGAGAGGCAGTATTGCTCCTCCCAACACTGTCATCCCATGAAGGAGAAGCTGTTGTTGGCCCACTTCACAGCAGAGAAACTGAGGCTCAAACTGCCACTGCCTCAGAGGGGTCTGCAGGATCGGGTCTGCTCAGCGGCCCACGGCAGGGGCGGTTGCTGTCGTTTTGGCATAATCAGAGCATGTTGGCGCACCTGAGTGTTCACCAGCAGCTGGAAATCCAGATTTTGAAATCAGCACCATCCTCACAAAAAACCCACAGTATGGGACAAATTCCTATTGTAGGGGACAGTGGCAGCCCACTAGGCGGGTGGAGGACCACAGAGAAAAGAGATCACATCCAGATTGGCCATGGAAGCTGCAGGGGAGTTCTGAGACCTCAGAAGGGCAAGGGCAGGTAGGCCCCCAGCTGGGGGCAGGTAGAGAGGCCCTGAGGTGGGAGGGGTTGTCGGGTGGAGACCCCATCCTGAGAGTGTGTTCTTTCCTTTGGGCCACACTATGGCAGCCACCGTGGCGGTGTGGCAGCTCTGGCAGTGTGGTTCATCATTCCTGCTTTTTTTTATTATTATTTTTTTTGAGACGAAGTCTCGCTCTCCAGGCTCTGGAGTGCAATGGTGGGATCTTGGCTCATTGCAACCTCTCTTCAAGCAATTCTGCCTCAGCCTCCCAAGTAGCTGGGATTATAGGCACACACCACCATACCTGGCTAATTTTTTTTTTTTTTTTTTGAGACGGAGTTTTGCTGTTGTTACTCAGACTGGAGTGCAATGGCACGATCTCGGCTCACTGCCACCTCCGCCTTCTGGGTTCAAGCAATTCTCCTGCCTCAGCCTCCCAAGTAGCTGGGACTACAGGCGCACACCACCATGACCAGCTAATTTTTGTATTTTTAGTAGAGACGGGGTTTCACCATGTTGACCAGGATGGTCTTGATCTCTTGACCTCATGATCCACCCACCTCGGCCTCCCAAAGTGCTGGGATTATAGGCGTGAGCCACCGCGCCTGGCCTTTTTTTGTATTTTCAGTAGAGGCGAGCTTTCTCCATGTTGGCCAGACTGGTCTCAAACTCCTGACCTCAGGTAATCTGCCTACCTCAGCCTCCCAAGGTGCTGGGATTACAGGTGTGAGCCACCACACCCAGCCCTATCCCCACCGTCTAAGAGGAAGCTGGGAGGGTCACAGCACCAGTGACAGTAGGGAAATCAGCCTCAGGGTTTGTAAACCCACTCTGTGCTGGCTGCCTGAGACCCTCTCCCAGCCTGTTTCCTCAGCTCCTGGGTCTGCTGGGAGGACGTGTGGGTACAAAGGCTCAGACAGGCTGCAGCTCAGGAGTGCCCGGCTCTGCTCTGTCATCCTCATTTGCCTATACAGTGTCTGCTTCCCCCACTGTGCTGGATGCTGTTTACCCAACTGGTCTCTGCTGGATCCAACCCTTGACAAGTCTTAAAGGCACAGTGCCCCCCATCCATGTTCCCTCCGTCCACCTACTTTCAAGTTTTCCTGGAGGCAATGAGTGCATGAGCCATCCAAGACCAGTTCTCAGATGCTGACCCTGCACTGAGGGACGTGTCCCTGGGACAGACACAGGGGAGGGGTGTGGCTGAGAGGAAAGGGCTCTGAGGTGCCCCAGTAGAGCTGCCCCATGTGTGGGTGGGTCTGCACTCACACACACTGTATATGCACAAGGGCCCCGGCCTCTGCAGAGCAGCCCACAGGGTATCTCAGGATGCCACCCTGGGCACCAGGGAGCATCTCTTACCTCCACCCAAGACCTTTAGTGGATTCTTTTGGAGCTGGCCTTGTGATGAGTTCAGATCTGTCCTTTCTAGCTTGGGATGTGCTTCCTCATATGTAAAGTGGGTAAATGGCAAGATGGTGTGTGAGGGCCACAGAGGTGTCTCCCTAGCCCACTCCTCACAGTGCCACCTCAAGCAGGTGGCTCCATCCTGCTGATCAAGAATGGGGCCCCAGTGGGGCAGAGGACAGGTGATCCAGAGGCCTGGACTTCCCACTCCCCATGCTGTCCTAGGAGCTGGGACTGAGCACAGTCTGAGCATCCTGACCCCCCCGCCCCCGCCACTATGGGGAGTACAGATGTGTCACTCAACCTGGGGGAACATGCAGTGAAAGCACCAAGCTGATGAAAGGTCAGTGGGTCTGACAGACCGTTTTGTTTCTTTTCACCCACAGAAAGCCTTCAGAAGGAGCCAGTCCCTGGCCTCCTCCATCTCGGAGGGTGGCAGGCAGGGACGCCATTTCCATGTCACCAAGGGAGAAAGCGAGGTTGGCAAGACCGCGTGGCATGCCCGAGGCAACCCAGCTCTGCATGCCCAGCTGCCTGCCTGCACATGCTCTTGCTAATGTGAGTGGGAGGAGGAGAGAGCCGGCAGTTGGCCCAGGGCAATGGCAATTCCCTGGAAGACTGTGGAATTGCACTGGGCATGGCCCATTCACTCCCTGCCCACTTGAAGGAGTTTTACCTGGCATCAGGGTGGGCTCAGAAGTCTGCATTTCTATCAGGTGGTCCCCAGGGGACCACAGGTCCCACAGGGTCAGTGCACAGAGCAGGGAGGTAAGGGAGGTGGGTGGGTAGTGTAGCCACCCCATTTCCAGAAGGACAGAGGAAGGCAGCCCAGGCCTGTGAAGTGCCATGCCATCATCCCCACGCCAAAGACGGGATGAGAAGCTCTGAGAGCAGAGTGACTCACCAAGGTCACCAGGCAGGGCTCAGTGGGAAGGGAGGCACAGCCAAGTCAAGGATGATAAGGGGCCAGGTGATGAGAGGTAAGCACCACGCAGGTATGAGAGCCTCTCATGCTGTCCCCCAGAGAGGAGCAACATGCCCAGGCTGCACAGTGAGGCACAGCTGGCCTTAGAAGGCCACAGAACAGCAGAAACAAGGTAGATGTCCCCCACAAGGCAGCAAGTAAGTGGATAATGGCCATCTGCATTTGAGAGTGGGATAGCGGATA